CCATGTCATTGTTAAGTCAAATTACACCTGTATGAACCATGTCATTGTTAAGTCAAATTACACCTGTATGAACCATGCCATTGTTAAGTCAAATTACACCTGTATGAACCATGTCATTGTTAAGTCAAATTACACCTGTATGAGCCATGTCATTGTTAAGTCAAATTACACCTGTATGAACCATGTCATTGTTAAGTCAAATTACACCTGTATGAATCATGTAATTGTTAAGTCAAATTACACATATATGAACTATGCCATTGGGACTTTATAGAGTATTTTTCTGTGTCCTCCTAATGGAAATGATGTCGACAAATATAACCATTTACGATTTATAAACTTACTACTCAAAGTAGACTTTACTCGTTTATGTCAAAATCATTTAATTTTTAGCAGAATAATTTCAAATGACTTCTTTTCCGTGATACACTTAATGGTAAATAAAAAGTGGGATTTGATCGTCAACTACTACCTCAAAGTGTGGCGTGTGTTTTTGCGGTAAAAGGACGCGAACTATGGACCTTCATATTCACAGTCTATCACACTAATTACTAGGTCATGCCCATCTTGGAGAAATTTAGGGTCAAAGACTTAGCAAAAAGCTTTAGTTGATTAGATTTGTAGGTCTTCAGAACCTTTGGTTACTTACTCTGAGCTATAGTATATATCTTTATAAATTTGAATTTCAGTTATTTTATTTTTTAAATAAAGATATTGATAGCAATGTTATAAAGATAAATAGCTAGATAAGGTAATATGTATCAGTTATTTTTCTTCCTAAATTGTATTGCTCTATACAGCTAGAACCACCAGATTTCAATAAATGTTAATGTATTCCACCAACCAATCTTTGAAATTGAAAGCGGCCGGCTAGAATATTCAGCCAACACATATAAAAAAGGTTTAAGTTCGAAGCTAGCAGACAAGTTACAGCGTTACCTACTGAATGTTAAAGATGGTGGAAAATATCAGAGTATAAGAAGTATATAACATTCGGGTAGTGGAAATATGCTTTTATCCTAATCAGTAACATTACCTACTATACTAAAGTTATTCATTTAAATATCAAGCCAACAATCCACAAATCAAAACTTCCACATGTAAAGTTTTACCTCTCAGAAAGAAAGAAAGACTTAGAATTATATAGTCAGCCCCTACAGTGGCACAGCGGTACGTCTGTGGACCTATACCTCTAGAAACCGGGTTTCGATACCCGTGTAACTTTGTAACAAACAACAAAACAAGATAATTATATATATAAAGTTTGTTAAACTATTCTCAGTGGCCTAACTTAAATAATCAACATAATGTTGCCTTAATCATGTAAACTTCCGTATTTTAAGGTTATCAGTTTTAGTGCAACTTTGTACTAAGGACAGTGGTATCGGTCAACTAATCTTGAGTTGAAGCTTCAAACTGAGTTTGACTTCACTTGTTGGAGCGACAGTTCTTAAAGTACCAATTCTTCTGATTTAATATAGCTATTTATTAACACATTATAAGCTATTTTATGATAACTTTTCAAAATATTTATTTTCTTAAGGCAATGGCCACAAAACGATCTTAATACCATCTTCTAAAGCTGCCTAAAACGGACAATTTTGGAATATTTGATTTATGCATATATTCCAGAAATAATTTCATTAAAATAGTTCATCCGGACAATTTCTATTATCTCCAGTCAAAAAGATCTATTAATTATGATTTCTAACGCATTTATTAACTCTTTAGAAAACAAAACTTTTCATGTGGATAATAATCTAAATTAACGCGAAGATATGCAGTTAAACTGTTCTAAAAACTTCCAAAGCTTCATGTGGAAATTGTGAATTGGTAACAATTATTTCTGTCTGATATAAGGATCTACTCTTAAGTTTGTCATGATTAATAATAATATCCCAATGTAACATTGCACTCAATATATATAATTTCCTGCTGATGGTATCTTAACGTTTTTAAACGTCCATTAGACATTTTATCGTACTGCCAACAATTATTTCACATTGTCGTTGTGTTCTACAAGTTTTCTTTATGTTCTTTATTGTCAATTTTTGGTGAAAAAGATCTTATGAGATTTGATTTGTCTGAAACAAAAACAAATGATTAACCAATTTCGAATCAACAACTGAAAGTTACCAGTTTGTTTGTATACCACGGATGGAGCTCACACACACACACACACATTACACCATATTGAGTAATGTAACGTTTTTACCTGTCAATACTCAGTGTATAGAAGCCTTTAAACTAATACAAAACAAACATTGTCTATAAGGATGTGGCCATGGTGAAAATTCGGTATTGAACACATAAGACTGACTTAACGTTGTTTTCAAATGATTTATCACAAGCTTAATACGAAGAGCACGTTTATTTGAACGAGAATTTTCTGATGTTTTTCTTCTCCTTTCATTTTCCACATGGATTATCGCTTAATCCTAGCTTGTTAACATAAGAAATAGTTAATCAACTGATTAAAATACGTAATTTCTAGTGCTAGAATAAACTAGAAATAATCACAACCGGAAAACAATCTTACAGCTGTGGAAATGTATGTCCATTGTTAGTGAAAATCGTTTCCAAAACATAAAATACTTTTTTTTTAACAGTCGAACGACTTAGGAAGTCTTATCAGTACATACAAATAGGTTTTGAAAACCTACAAAGATAACAAATGTAAATAATATTCTGATTGTTTACTTTATTGAAAAGGAAACGTTAATTCAATGTTAGGAGCGATTGGAAGATGAGAAGGTATTTTTGTACAATATATGTTGTTGGAGAAGTTGCTTGTCCTGTAATAAAAGTTTTGTAATCTAACATTGTTTTTAAGAGAGATGAAAAAAGCGTTTGTTTAATTTCCATAAGGAAAAAAATGCTAGTCATATATTTTTAAAAATTAATTGTGTCATGCAAACTTTTTTCTAGTTTTATAGCAGATAAGAAAATGCAACTTTGTGACGAATAATACAAAATTACCAAATCTGAACAGGCTTCAACAAAACTGTGCAGGGTGAGAAGGTGCCAAAGCTTGTTGGAAACCCCAAGTGGTAGTTCATGGTTTATCTTTAAACGGTTTTTAACTGGTTATAACTTATTAGAGTGAAAGGTCAGATATATACGTAAAGGGAAAATAATGAAGCCAGTAAAATGATCCACCGGACGTATTTGTTCTCCTCACATCCTTTTACGGAAAGTCCTAGCAACATAAATATACAGACCTGTTTCTTTCCAGCTCTGGGTGTTTGTTATTATAACCGGCTAAAAAACGTTGGGAGAATTTATTGGAGGTTAGATTATTTTCTTTTTGTCTCACGGCAGCAACTTCTCAATCTCAGGCCTCATAAAACATTACAATAAATTACAACTAA